CCAGATCTCCCTTAATTTGTCCCCCAGCTTCTTTACTTGGTTCAAGAGTGGTTCCTCAATACGCTTTCTCACTCTCTCTACTGCCTCATTCTCCTCTTCCATACTCAGTCCACATCTCTTTCGAGCTCATCCTCTCACCCTCGCTCTAGCTTCCTCTACAGTCTCGTCGTGGAAGTGCTCTGCGCGCATATAACCACGAGACCATACCATCACGTCATAGGTGATTGAGGTCTGAAAGGTTACTCGCGCAAGTATACCAGCCCCGCGCTCGTAGATCAAATCCCTGGCTCGTTGTCTGCACTCGCTCGCCGTCAAGTACTCATCTAAGTAGGCTCGGAGAAGTACTGTCACCGTGTATCCTGCGCTTACCAGTTGCTCCTCCACCCGCATCGCCGTAGTCGTCCTTCCCGGCATTCCTTAAGCCGCCGCCTCAAAGAGAAATYTTGCCTCCTCCATCCCTTCGTAATCAATCTCCGCTCGTCTCCTGCAGTACCTAATCAAATCGCTCGGCCTCAGACAGTCCACCCAGTTAGTARCGTCTAAGATGTCGTTAAGTGTCTCTCTACTGGGCGGTCCCCACTTCACACAGATCGCATAGTATACATCTTGGAAACGGGGCGCTAAGCCCTCCCAGAGCGCGTAAAGCGTGTGGTCTACTRCTCTACTCAAACGACTGACGCTCCCATAGGTCTGCCCTAGCACGAAGGTAGGAAGCCCGAATCGGCAAGCCTCTCTCGGATAGAGGGTCGGATGAGGTGGTCCGTATACCAAGCGGGTYCGACTCGYCCTTCCTCCGGAGAGTCGATCCAGTTGTCGATTAACAATCACTCTGGCCAATAACTCACGCTTCCACCAGCTCCTGCTTGCTCCTGCGAGTGTTAATCCTATCTCCAAATTGTATGTTCTGTCAGCTATCAGATGTCCGACCCCTTCTAGATCATGAGTCCTACCGGATCGCTCGTCTCGTAGTATCACCGTCCAAAGGAACAGCCCTTCTGCGAGCCACGTTCCCAAGTGTCGTATCGGCACTCGCTCCGTCCCTTCCAACGCCACAGGAAGAGGTATGTCGTACCCAACCGCCGTCTCTCTGGGTCCCACAAGCTTTCTCACGTGGTACGATTCGGACCCTCGTGAGAGAACATATACTAACCAGGCTGCCGAGTCACTTCTCATCTCCTCTCCGGCTCTTGATCTGTAGAGCTCTAATCCCTCCGACGCACCTTATCTCTGGATGGTGCCGACTCTTCAGACAACTCTACCACCCAGATCCCGTACGGTTGAGTAGGTGCTATGCACTCTCCCGTCGGCTCCATAATAGTAGATAGTAAACTCAGTGAACCTCTGGCCTCTCCVTATCTCCAGGGCATGCTCCGTCATGAGTCTAACTTGTCTCTCAACAATGTCTAACGTTCTTCCTCCCAACCTCCTGTCCTATCCCGTCGCAGGGAAAGAGTCACCCTGAGTATATCCTGATTCGCCATACTCTCCACTACTCGCCGATATCAGTGACCAAAGCTGACTCCTCCTACGCCAGGACAGCTACTCCTATCCTGGGGAAATGGGCGTCCGAAGCGTCTGGYTCCTCCTCGACAATCTCATCCTCCGGGTCAATCCAGTCCGGCTCCCAGACGTTCTCGTCGTCCTCTCGCTCCCATCCTCCGTCGTCAAACTCGTCCTCGACGCGGTATGGGGCCTGTCCAATGCCTTGGTAGTATTGCGCCAACTGGTGTCCRTATATCAGAGGTCTCTCGGCGTMCTCAGCCCACCARCTCTCCTCGTYGTCTGAGAAAAGCCGCCCGATGCAGGTCACGTACTCGGGTCCTGCTCGGAGCTCTCGGTCTAGCCAATCCCAAACGCACGGCGACTGGGGCCACTCGTCGTCTATCGAGCGGATCADCTCTATAAGCTGAACCCTCTCGTCTCCCCAGCGAAGTCCTCCGGTCGCGAGTGAATAATAGATGTAGGTTAAATCTGTAGTGCTTCTCGCCAGAATCTTGAGATCCTGATAGGCCAGGTATGTCTCCACCACTCCTCCAATGCCTCCAAAGACACTCTCTACCACGAACGCCGGCACTATCGCTCTCAGGCTCCTAACGTTGAACGGGAAAAACCCGTCCCGTGCTATCGCCAGTCCGCCCGAGATATCAAGAGGAGGGCGCCCGTGAAATAGAGTCAACGGGTCGCGCGAGTCCTCCGCTCGGAAGGCAGCTACCTCCTCCTCTAGGTACCGTAACGCTCTGCTAACCGTCCCACTAGTCCCTGTCGTCACGAGGCCCACTACAGCCTCCCTGATCGCAGCAGGCCCTAAATACAGGTAGGCCCTCACTACGCCTACCCCTTGCGCCGGCTGGTGCTCTCTATACGTCCACAGCCACGCGTCTTCCGACAAGACTATGGACCTCCACGCGAATTGTCCGTCAAAGTGCCGACTAC